ATGAAGATGAAATTGTGAAATCGTGACGTTGAAATGGCCCTACCGGTTTTTCGTAGCTATGTGTTATTTTATGCTTAACTTACACCTTTAGTAATTTTAGTATGTCTTTTGTAAAAAAAACTTTCATTTTTACAAACAGGAAAAACAATGTGTACTGAAGTGAAATGGAATGTGGAGAAACATTTTGAAACATGTGTTTGATCTCTACATGACATTTATTATGATATTTTGGAAATGTACCAGTTTAGACAATAATTGTTTATTTTAACAGCGCAAATTAACAAGTTTTAATTCTGGTAACGATCGAAAAATGGAATATGTACACTTCCTAAAATATGCAGTAGGCTCTGTCATGCGTGCAGTATGAAAACTGGAAATATTGTATATAGTTCCGGATAGATATGGAAAACTACTCTTGTATATCATTTTGTTATAAAAAATAAACTTGTTGAGACTAAAACTAATCAAATATCTCGCTTTAAAACTACTGATACATTATTTGTTTGCATGTGCATATCAGGTTGACGGTTGAACTTGCAGCAACATATACCTCAATAACTTCCTCAATACTATAAAATTTAGTATTTTATTTTGACGATCATGCACAATTATAAGTTCTGATCAGCATGCACAATGCTATTCTTTAAGAAATTACAATATAATTTTGAAAAAAAACATGATTATACCCATTTTCATTTTCACTTTGTTCGGCCATTATTCCGTATCGCATGATTTCACCTCGCTTAAAGACGAATCGCACTGCTATATGTTCGCCCCCGCTGTGACATCATAAGATTTCATTTTAATTTAAAGAAAGTATTTAAGAATGCAATTCCGGTAAGTTTTTGTACTGAAAATGTTCATAATCTCTTTATTGACGTTATAAACATATCATTAACTAGATGTTGTGGGTACAAAACATTTTGCTCTGACAAAAAATTCAAACATTATGGATAGATTCGCTTTTAATCATTGTATAAGTTCTTAACATAACATAGTATATAAATAGATGAAATATTATGACATGTTAATCATCATTTTATAACAGAAAAATAGATTGATTATCTTATTAGTCAACTACAAGATTGGCAAAAACTCTTATAATTAAAATTTAGAATTCAATCTATATGTCTTGGAACTACATCAAAACTTGCAAAGATCATAGCTAAATAATGTCACAAGTAGCCAGTTCACTGGTCTATCAAAGTTGATAACGCGTGGTCTCTTGCAAAATATATTTACAATTAAATACATTGTCACATCAACTATATATACATATGTACAAACAACATACACTTTGCTTCTATAATGAATGCATGCACAAACATTAATATATAAACCATTCGATTATTAAAGCCTTGAATTAGTATTTTACCATGTAAATAATTCAATCCAAATTAATGATAAGCAAAAAAATTTAGTCCACTATTATAATGACCAATGGTACAGACTGATCTCCAGTTAAATGATCTTGTCGAAAACGAAATTAAGATACATTACAGGAATTAAGTCTGCAAAATGGCCTATACGTTAAATAATTTGCATTCTCTCTGTACCAGTAATCTTATCAATAGCTATTAACAATAAGACATGACAAGAAAACAATTGAGAAAGCTATTTGCAACAATATAAATACAGGTCAATAATTTAATTCAATTCTATCAGTAATATGCACTAAATTTCACGATCCATAATTCATGTTGTATTCAAGTTAAAACAATTCACACACAAGCTTCACGATTTTAGAACATTAAAAGTTTGGCTTGTTGATTCGAGAGCTAAGCCAAGCAAAAAACTACATGTACTCTGGTTTGACGGTAACAACTGTATAAGCTTTAACCAAGATTTTCAATAACAGTTCCCCATATTTTTTTACGCGTGGACAGAAGCATATTTGATGTTGCACAAAGTCTGCATATAAACAAATACATTTTTTTACACTTTTATGGAAACACAATTATTTCCACTTACTGAGTTACATCTTTTTATATCCATTTAGTATTTTCATCGCAAATACACGAACGCATGATAGATTCTTTACAACACACAATTTACTGCTCAGATTAGAGCGGGCGGGCATAACGTTCCAGCTCGTAAATTCAGGTGGAGCTACCTATAATTCAAACATTATGTAATTTAATGGTTTGATGAAAACGTTTTATTGATACATGTATTTCGGGAATTTCTGTCCTGCGTAGAAAATATATCACAACGCGAGATATAGTAAGCGAGACGATGCGCACTGACAGTGGCAAGTAGGAATTGTGTATGCGGTAAATTGATAAAAAGCGTTCATATTTTGACGTCAGATTCAAATGACGTTTTCTAGGTGACGTCATTTTCTGCACTATGCTGGTTTTGTCATGGGACAGTCACAAATGACACAAATGATGCTAGATTTGTTTCCGGCAGGTTTCCTTAGTGTCGAGAAACAGTCTAGAGTGTACGATATGAAAAAATGTTTTAAACTCTTTGCTTTTGCAATCTGACGATCTGCAAGCCAATATAATTATTGCGATTTTTTTAAACATTTTCATTATGTTTACAAAATGTTCTTGTTTTTTTATCACGAGAATGCTAAATTAACGTTTCACTCTTACAATACCAGATATATTTAATGGACATGCCCAACAGGGACACATTTCAAAATATGTACTGACTACATTGCGGGCAGTGAATCCCATTTTTGTATTTTCTGATCGAAGATCAGTAAAATACAAAGCGGACATACAATCTCTGACACAGAATTTCACGACAGACCTAACAACAAGTAGTTCTCAAAACAGCTTAAAACTAGCGATTTAAAAGAAAGAAATATTTTTATTTTGTTACAAGTATCCAACAAATTACAACGCATTCAAAGTTTAAAAGTACCGTTGGCCTATAGAATTGTCAATAAATACACAATCACAAATTACGCGGATGAATATGATTTTAATCAATGAAAATGCTATTTTTAGTGATGTCGATTACCGAATACTACACAAATAAATCTGACTGCCGAGTAGTGGAATATATAGATTCTACATGTCGGACTGTTTGGGCGAGAAGGTTTTCGCTAAATATTTTACTTCAATTTTAAACAACAGGTTTATCCTGAACAAAATACCTCGAAATTAATAAGGATTACAAACCCGAAATGCAATGGAAGTTCTAAATTTAGAATGACTTGATTTTATTCAGACCTTTTTTATATAACATCTTCGTGGTGCAAGGCTAACGCGCTCGTTTCGTGTGTGAGAGGTCTGAAGTTCAAGTCCCTGTCGAGGCATTTTTTTAAATTATTTTTTAAGTGTCTTTGTTAAAGAAGCAGCCATGATATGCAAGGATAAAGTGTGGCTCTCATAAAAAATGAACATAAATGATTTTTTGATGCAACTCTAGTTATGCAAAATTCCGTATGTATCAAACTCTGGTGCCTTGCAAGATGAATTTTAGTACATAAAAATAAACTAATACATGAAAATACATACAGATATACAGTACGATTTAGATTACAAAGATCAGAAAATACCACAGAGCATGCAGCCCTTTGATTTAATTTGTTCCGTTGCCGCTAGCAATCTTAGGGTTAACATTTAATTACTTTCTTGTTGCAGTTTTTTTAGCACGAATAGAATTATCAGTTGACGAAGATCCCTATCACAACCACCAGTCAAAAACAAACTTTCATATTTGTTTGAGGATAAACTCGGTAAAGATGGTACAATTTTGTTATACACAATATATATACATGTATCATAGTAGGTTTTAGTTCTTCGAGATTAAAAGTTTTGATAAAGATAAAAACAAATGGGTTATAAAAACCATTAGGGAGGAGGAAAATTTGTCACAAGTTTGGTTAGCTGAAGGGAAAATACGTAAACTGATTAATCATTTTACAGCTAATCATTGTATCGTTTCATTGGCATAGACATAAGCCAATGGAAACAGTGAATCGAGGGTTGTTACACTCGTTTTTAAAATTGAAAGTAACCGATACACTCCTTAGGTTTTTATTTGTTGTTTTTTTCTTTTCATTGTAAAAATATAAAAGTGGACACAATTATGGCAAACTGTAAAGGCATTTTGTTTTAAACAGGTGCACTCACCATTGGAACTTTAATGGTTATCATGTCAGTTTTATTGCGCTGCTTCCTGTCCTGATATATTTCCCGTTCAAGTCCAGTATACACATGTACATGTAACTTTATTTCAGTAAAATTTGGCACTCCGGTCACTGTGACAGTATTTTCTCACCACTGTACTCATATTCAAAGCATTTTGTTCGGACAATAACTTTCTTCAGCGTCAGAGAGATGCAATGCCTTACAAACAAACTAATGTGTCCTTATTCTTGGACTACCTTTAAAGTTTGCTCTTATGATTGTTTTAAAAAATACAAAATATGAATAAGAATAACAAGAGTAAAAAGGTCATTGTCCCTACTTTATCGTTATCAATATCATTTTTATAGCATGATTGCATAGGAGTTGACCATACATAGAAGACAGAAACTATTTGTACATCCCAATTTCAGATCCATGTTCTTCTGATGTTCTAACTTTAAGGTCAGAGCTGCGTTGCATAGAACGTAAATCCTAAGTCATAGACCATAAGACCAACATTAAGGCTGCTTTACTGCTTTGAGAAATAAACATTTTAACTTTTATAAACTACATGACTTTTATTAAATGTTTTCAACTGAGAAAAGTTAAGAAATACAATTGCATGTTCTTTAATCTGTTAATGTTCATTTACGTTCCGAAATTGAAGTTGTTGTGACATAGGAGTAAAACAAAACAACAAAAAAAACAACAAAAAAAAACAACAAAAAACATAAATTAGGACATTGTCTTTGAAATGGGAAATTTTACCTAAAGTTTGATTTAAGACTGTACCTTCTATGAAACGCATTCCTGAATTTTAAAAACTATAAGAGTCTAAACTGACAATTCAGAATAGACCAACGTGAGAATACTCCCCATAGATGCTAAATATTCAACAGTTTTTTAACAACCCTCGGTGTTACGTGGAGCATTAAAATTTAACAAAATATACAGACCATCAATGAGTAATAGAACTTGTTATTGATCTTTTTAGCTGACAGGTATGTTTCTCTTATATTTGTTTTTCTTTTCTTTGCTAAGTTTTCTTATTTTCTAAATCAGGTCTTAAATTTTCGGCGTTTTAACCAGATTAATAATTGTTAATTATATTTTTTCATTATCTGTTCTGTTACTCAAACAACATTGTTTGTTTGCTTGTGTTGTTAAAGTAAAACCTACACGTGACTCTTCGTGAGTCTGTAATCACTGTTTTGTAGTTGCTTAATCGCACCGAGAATGTTTATACGCCAATCTTGATACATGAATTTTGATACTGCAGTAAAATGTTTAACCTACTAGTAGGCAGGAATAAAACCAGTCTGGCAAATTATCTAATGATACAATATGTGTATTTTAATTCAGAAATTATTTGTAAAACATTGTTAACTTCTTAATAGTACAACTAATCAATGGACTTCTTGGTGCTAGACCTTCATTTGTTAGAAATGCTTGATACATATAATGGTGGCGTGGTGTTGGGTGGTTACACTCTGGATCACAGCATAAAACCACTTTAAAATTACCATAGTATGTTTCAGCCACCGTATTGTTCCTGGGTAAATTCTCAAGCAGTTTACCAGTACTAGTTGCCTTCACTTTTGCCAGAGCAGAGGTACAGTGCGAATGACCTTAGAAAGGATATCATGATAAATCACAACGAAATAGTTCTGCACCGTCCGGGAATACGGGTTGCCCGATTCACAAGTTAACGCTCAACCTATTGAGCTAACCGGACGGTTGTGATGCGTAGATTTTTATAAAAGTTAATTGAACTATACAAATGTATAAAAATGAATGAAAAAAGGAATTAATTTATGATGTTTTTATAAATTAACAGACGGACTGATACAAAGATACGAACGAAGATACAATGGAGAAGAACCTTCTTAACTTCGTTATCATCACAATCATATTTGCTTTGAGTGTCGTGGCAAGTAAAGGCAATTCTAATGTTCCTAACAATAATGACGAACTATCGAAACTTGAAAATCCTCTCATATCAAGACTTTTGAAGAACGACGTGGACGCCAAATTAGAATCGAACAGTACTGACGAATACACAAACTTTGGCGGTTTGTACGTTTCAAATTTAGCTATATACGTATATAATTCATTCAGATATAAAGAAATCAACCAGATTAATATATTGTGAGATTACATTGTGTTAAAATTTCCTTTTAGTCAAATTCTAGACTTTCATTTCCATTTTCAAGTAAAGCTACTTCAGCAATTAAATACTTACTCAAGAAAGTTAAAGTTATTAAATTTCATTTATAACTTTTTATTACACAAAGTTTATTTTATCTTGATGAATTGTGTGAAACACAACACATTTATTTATGTTATATATATGTTATATACATATGTACTATGATATCAAAGATTATCGAACTATCGAACTAAACGACAGAAGACATCATTCATACGCAAACATGATTTTTGTTTGTTTGTTTGTTTATTTGCCTTTTGTTGTTGATTCTTTTGCTACTATATCTTTCTTGACATGTGTAAAATGAAACTTTTTCAATTACTTTGCATAGCATATCTTGGGTAATATACATTTATTGGAGAAATTTATTGAAATCTTGGAAATTCTTTCACAACTTGATTTTATTTCGCCATTTCTAAAAAAAAAACTGCCATTTTTTAAAGATCCTGTATTTTGTAATCAAATTGGTAAACCACACTTAGTGAAATAATATATATGTACATAATCATGCAAATAAAACAATTTTCAAACATCGAAGAATACGCAATATTTGTGCATATTATATGTAATCATCAAAATATATGCACTCATTTCTTATTGTAAAATTTGACTTAAACTTGATAGAATATAAATTTTATTAACCTTCCTTTATTTACATGAAATGTTTAACTCGGTAATATCTTTATAAATAATGCTTTTTGGAACCTACAATATTGATACATCTTAATATGAGCATCATATTTATGATTTAAAACCATAAAATTTGTGTTACAGGATCTTTAATGACACTATGTTTTCAGACTTTGTTTACCTATATTTCGTAAAGTTAAAAAAGCGTTACAAGTCTTTTTCTGTGTGTACGGAACACCTCGGCTATTATTTAAATAATCTCGTACTTAAAACAGATTGAAAGTAGCAAAACAGAGAGTGTTATCTTTGATAATGTAGAACGAGAATATACATGTATATTTGACATTCTGAAGAAGTCTGTTTTGGTAAAATTATGATTGAAAATATGTCTGACAATCATAAACAATCTTTAAAAAATGCCTACTGGTGTACAATTATAAAAAAATCCAAATTAATGTCAACAGGTACACATTTTAAACATTTTCTGCAACCATTATAAAAATAATAAAACTAAAATACTGTTTACTTTTATATCTATAAGTTAACTTAATTTAGGTGGACTTTAACTCGACATAATAGAATAACTCCCATACGAAAGACCGGTAGGGCCATTTCAACTTCATGAATTCCCGATTTCATCTTCATGAATTCACAATTAAAACTTCATGAATCCCCTTTCTAAAAATACGGAATTCACGAATTCAAAATTTCAGCTTAATGAATTCTCGACTTCAATTTCAGGAATTCAATATTTCAACTTTATGAATTCATGATTTCAACTTCACGAATTCAACTTCATGAATTCACGATTTCAACTTCATGAAATTCACGATTTCAACTTCATGAATTCACGATTTCAACTTCACGATTACACGATTTCAACTTCATGAATTCACCATTTTAATTTCACGAATTCGAACTCCTACACGAATTTGTGAAGTTGAAATCGTGAATTCACGAAATTCAAATCGTGAAATCATAAGTCGAAATCGTTAATTCGTGAAGTTGAAATCGAGAATTCATGGAGTTGAAATGTCCACACCGGTCTTTCGTACTCCAACCATTAAATTACTATTTGTTTAAGCGTAGGTTATACCCAAAAACCGTATCCGTTCTGTGTATATCCTTATTAAAAAGCGTCGCTGATATGCAATTGATCAAAAGATGTTTATTTTACATTTTATAATAGACAGTATATCAATTGTTTCAAATATCAGTAGTTTAAAACAACAAAATTTTACCATGATAATGTATCTTTGAAAGGTTGGCGTACTTGCCTTTCAATAACCATGTCAAAAAATGGAAAAAGAATTATACAACCAGAGTTTGTAATTGGTGTTGCATAGAAAAATAAAGAAAATTTAATCCCTATAGAACGCCCAAAACGACAAAATTAAAAATGTTGCAGGTTGAAATTGATTTAACCTGTTCTCTGACGGTACTGGAAAGTACAAGTTACCGTCAACGACCCTGGTAACTGCATAAGCAGAATTCAAGATTTAAAACTTACGAAAGCCAGCGGATATATAATAAAAGGATCATCGTCTACACAAAATATAGATCATTGAAGATTACACCTCGTAGCTAAAGCTAATGGAGCGTATTTTCATCATGAGTATGAAATTATTACTCCTTGTCGAACGTAAATTAAAAGAGATATAGATGATAATAATTGTAGGATACTGACGAAAACATTTTATCAGTGTTCAGTTTGTATGATGGGTAACTATATTACGAAAGGTAAAACATAAATTCCTAAGAAACAAATGCAAAAAATGAGTTACGTACAACAGCAGCATATACACTAAGCAGGCATGCTAAGGGTATGTGCACATTTTAGAATATTGATGGATTTGTAGTAAAGAAATTAGGTATCATTTTGAATAGTTTCCTAATTGTAATAAAAAGGAAATAACAAATATCATGCTGAGAAATCTTTACTGCAACAATGCTATTATATGGTTAAACAAATGCATTTTCTTTATAAGGCCACGATCTACATGAACAAAAGAAGAGATTACGAATTCCTGACGGCGCAAGGTTCAGACCGTTGCCAATTTGTAGACCTTACGTACCGTTCCTTTCGACGTTCCAGTGCTGTGAGCGAGGATTCACTCATGTCGATTTAACAAACAATGCTCCTTGTAATGGAATCAATACCGCAGCAGGTGTCGAAATCCTTCAACAGCCAACAGCACAGACAAGCTTAACTGGGGACTGCAACAAAAGAGCACTTCTTAAGGTAAATATGTAAATACTGAACACTCAACAATTCAGTTATAGTTAAAAATGTTTTCCAATTATCCTCGTAGCGATGTAATTTTAGTCAGACTTTAGGCATGTGGTATACCTATGACAATTTTACTTAAATCACAGATAAACTTTGAGAAGTTTACAAAGGAGCCATGTGACTACTGCTTAAGAAGACCTCTATGTGGTAGACGTATGTTGAAAATAGATCTGACACTGAGTTCTGGTACACGATCAGGTTGGGGGTTTAATATAGGAGACAGCAAAACAAACGATGGATACAGTAAGTACATTCAATTTATAAAACATTTTGAATATATGATATTTAAATTTGATTTGGAATAGCCTTGTGAATTTATAAGCATAAAAGTTCCGGATGAGAAAACTTAATTGATCCAACAATATCTGACAAATATATCTCGCCTTTGAGTACACAATAGGTATCATCTCTGTTTTGAAAGTTAATTAGAATCCTTTAAAATAGTAGAAATGTTATGTTTGAAAATTTGAAATTGCGTTATTTATACTCTAACGTTACCCGATCCATTAAATTGCAATTAATTTATTCTACTGTTTCGTTAAGATTTAAGAGGGTGATGCAAACACACAGATAAATGACGCAGAGGCTGAAGGCGTTTTTCCTGCAGTTCGACTTTATCACAGCGATAGATGCAATTCGGTAGGTTCATTCAAAACCTTTGCGGACGCTATTGGACCAAATGTCAATGTCATGACCATTTACGTCAGCAATCAACACATTCGAATCATGAACGACCAAGGGTTTGATGAATATGTATGTGACAACTGTCTGTATGCTCTGAATGGTCAGGCAGACAGTCAAGGAATCAACGAGGACATATACATTGGTTTGAATCGTGTGATAACAGGTCGATCAGACAGAAACGGACAAGGTGTTTGTTCAGCGACGCTGACATGGATTTGTCCTCGATGGTAGATGGCGGCGTATATTTATTTAAATTTTAATACAGAATAAATACAACATGTACTTGAAAATACTTATTTATATTCCCTTTATTTACTAATATAACAATTTCTTTTGATACAGTTCTAGACACATTTTGTTGCATTTTCCCAGTTAACTTGTAGCATTTGAAACTGTAAGAGAAAGATAAGAAATAAATAACATTATCATGATGCAGAAATTCTTGGACACTTTTATTACCCTAGATTTACTTGTCAAATACAAAAATACCGTGGATTGAAATATTTATAAAAGTGTAAATAAGATAATCCACAATATCTGTAGTAATATTATGTATCAGCGGTTTGAATCGAGTCAACAATTTTGGTCGATGCTACATTAAAACATTTCGATTAGAAATGTCGTATACGAGAATCAAATACAGGTGCACAGCCAGACGTGATGGCTACGTGGGATTATCCTGAATAAACAGTAATTTGTTTATAATTCTGATAAATTTTATGTTTTCTTAATAAATTTATACCTGTGCAAAAAATATGTTTAATCTATTTAATTGCAAAACATTATTGCTTTAATGTCATCTAGTACCGTCGCAAGCCCCATAAAATAACCATAGAAATGCCACAGCGGCGCAGCTTAACCATACGTTGAAATTAATGGTAAATCAAAAGTACCTGATAAAAAATGGATCTTTTCTAAAATTTGCAGATGCTTGGTTTAAAATCTGAAAAAATGTCATCCAAAACTTCACGTCATTTGAACACTGGATTATTGTGAAGTCATATTTCAATGGTTTTCGGTTGCAACGTTTATTCGAAAACGTTGTCATTAAGTCGTCAAGGAAAACGGCCATTTCACAAACATTTGATAACAGTTCGGATAGTCTCATTCAATAACATGACATGTATCTTGTTAGTAAAACAATAGTGTAAGAGTGTGGTGTCAGACAGTTGGACTAACCTATAAGATAAAACAGCTCGGTGGTGGTTTAACCGCATGCGCTCGACGTTAACGTTCTCCGGCACCGTGGCGCTTGCAAAAGACAAATGTGCGGCCGTGCATAAAATGAGATGCGATTTTTTTCACTTTTCTTTTACAAAATTATTCACATTGATGTTTTACATATATTTAACATTTGTTTTAAGTAATAACTTTATTTATAGGAAAAACTCATTCTTATAATGATTGACATTTTACAAATACAAGTCGACGTATCCATATGCTTTCTAATGTAGGAATAATTAGCTAAACGAAAACTAAAATATTTTATTATTTTTATACAAATAAAAATAAAAAAATAAAAAATAAAAAAATAAAAAAAATAAAAATAAAAAATAAAAAAATAAAAAATAAAAAACCTTGATATGAGAACAAACATACTACATGTATATGTATACCGGCACAATAATGACAAAGTTATATATTGTACAAAACTTTTGCATTCATACCATTAGGAGATAATGTGTTCAGCTTATGAATCCAGTATGATTCTTGTAATAAGCGTTCCATATCATCGGTGACAATCTCTATAGGCATAAATTTAAAATCCTTTATACAATGATTGGTTTTATTAAAGTGTGTAGCGACATTGGTCGAAAATAACGGATCGGAAAAATTGTTAATATCAAACCTATGGCTATTCATGCGTTTAGACACTTGTTGCTTCGTTTGACCAACATATTGCTCTTTACATTTATCACAAGTGACAAGATATATAACATTTTTCGTAGAACAATCAGTATTGTTATTTACATGATAATTCTTACCAGGCATATTAGTACTACTAAATATATTGCTTTCAATAATGGAGCTGCAATGTGTACATCTACTTCTATTACATTTGGATGAACTTTTCGCATTTTTGTTATTAGACCTAATATTAGAATTAACGAGAATGTCTTTTAGATTTTTAGGTCTTTTAAATGCAACCAAAGGTTTACTTTCATGAAGCTTTTGCACAGAACATTTACTTGAAAGTTTAAGTAAATCCCAATACTTTTTAATTATATTACTAATATTAGGTAAAGTTGGGTTATACTCAACAACAAAGGGAATAACACTGCCATCACTTGTTTTGTTGTTAGTACACAGGGCCTCATCCTGTGTTAGACATGAAACCTTACTTAGTGCATTATCAATAACATTGATAGGATAATTTCTTGCTTTGAAGTATGTACGTAAATTCTGTAAAGAATCGTTGAAAACATTATCGTCAGAAATGATACGGCGATAACGTTTTCCTTGACTGTACGGAATACCATTTTTACAAGATACTGGGTGACAGGAAGAGTATTCTAAATACTGATGATTATCTGTCTCTTTAACATGTATATCAGTGTGAATAATATTGTTTTCGTCTAATGAAACGTTTACATCTAAAAATGATACGAGAGATTTAGAAACGTTCGCTGTAAATTTTATAGATGGATGAAAGTTATTCAAACTATCAATGAAAGCATTCAAATCATCAAGGGAATAACTCCATATACAAAATATATCATCAAGAAAACGGAACCATAAACTAGGTTTTAAAGAACGTTGGCTTAAAAAGTCATTTTCAAATTTACCCATAAAAAGCGAAGCGTAAGAGGGTGCCATAGAACTTCCCATTGCTGTTCCCATTTTTTGTATATAATGATCAGCGTTGAATTGAAAGTTATTATTTTCTAGAACTAAGGAAAGAAGTTTACATATTTCATTACATGAAAGTTTTTTGGGGGGGGGGGATTTCTCTCTAAAAAATGTCTGCAAGATTCTACTCCGTCTGTATGGGGAATGTTCGTATATAGAGATGTAACATCTAACGTAACAAGGTAATGTTCTCCTGCCCCAAGAGAGGTGGTTTTTAGTTTGGCAATAAAATCAGAAGTGTCCCGGATATACGAAGGTAGATTATGTGTTAATGGCTTTAAAATGGAATCTAGGTACTTAGAAATATTTTCTGTTCTTGATTTACAACCGGAAACGATCGGGCGTCCAGGATAACCTAAAGGGTACAATTCACTATACTGCTTATGAATTTTAGGAAGGATATAAAAGCCGGGTGTACGTACATCTACCGGAAAAATGTCAAATTCATCTAAAATATTCACGTTTACCTTACCTAATTCATCAATACATTTTAAAATATTGCTATGAATTAAAGATGACGGATCATGATCGAGTTTAGTATAATACTGGGGATTATTAAGTTGTCTATTCACCTCTGCAATATAATCTTCTTTGTTCATTATCACTATAGTACTTGATTTATCAGCCTTTTTTATCACTATACTTTCATCGCTGGATAAACTCTTCAATGATTCGAGTTCCGGTTTTGAAATATTCGTATAATTCCTCCGTTTTGGTTCAGCATTAAGGATCTCTTGATTCACAGCTTCTATGTAAAAATCCAAATACGTATCTCTCCCGGCAGGTGGCGTGAAAGTAGATTGTTTCTTATTGAAAAAAGGTTCTTGTTTATATTCATTTTCAGTAGATTCATTATTTTCACTTTCGAAAAACTCTTTAAGTCTAAGGCGTCTAGTAAATTTGAACGAATTTTCAGCTAACTTAATTTTGTCATGACTTCGCGATTTAGGACAAAATGATAAGCCTTTACTTAATAGTAAATAATCAGTTTCCGTAAGTTTTCTCGATGATATGTTTAATACTGTTTCTTTACCTTTCCAAATTTGTTGTTTCCTTCTCTTCTGTTTTTTCCATTTGTTTCTGTTCGTTGCTCGGATAAAACGTCTGTTCTTTTTACCAAATCTTGCACTATTTTCATTAGATTTTGTACAGTTTGTTGGAGATCTTGGCTGCATACCCCCTGTTTTGTGGCCTCTGCATATGTTTTTCTTGTGCCTGGGGGCTTGAAGTTTTTTGAATTTTCTACATTTAAATCCTTAGATTTTCTGCTTACTGGGTTTTGAACTTGGTCTTTCTGTCTTTCATTCTGTCGGGTAGGAATATCTATCTTATTGTTTACTATGTTCGTCTTCTGATAAGTGTCGGTGTTCGAGGAATAACTTTTCGTTTTTTTATTTCCGTTTCGTTTCACTTTAGTGTTTGGTGCCCTCGCCTTAGCAGTAGACCTTTTAATCATAGATTGGCGCTCTGTTATCGTAGAGCCACTTAAGGGATCTTCATTAGGTTGCATACCGCTGGCCGTTGAATAAAAAGTATTGGTGTCTTTCCGATCAATTAAACCTTTTAATTTTTTACTGTGTTTAACAGCTAAAATATCTTTTTTCTGTTCAGTAGTTACGGAAATGGTCCTTTCTATTTCAAAAAGATCTTCCTCAGAAATCGCTGTTTTCACAATTTGTCGTTCCTCCTCAATTTCCTTACCATACTTTTTAACTTGTCGTCTCTGCTCATCTTTTATACGCTCCATAATTTCTATAGATACCTTATTCAATAGGCGATCAATTGAAGCTTGAAATTCTCCAGAATCATTTCCGATGTGAACTTTCAATTTAAGTTTTAAACCTTTTGGTATGACATCATTAGCTACACAACTTTCCAAAAATCTTGCGTGAAGCCCGCATTTCATTTGTTTTTCGGCTAAACGTTCCAATTTAAATTGCGGATCCATAACGTGGATACATTTGTTTTCTTGTTCAAAAGTAATAATATATAATCAGTTCAATAAAAACAAACGCTTTTCTTAAGCTTTCGACGTTTAGTCTTCTTCAGAAAAATTGACGTTTATAAAATAACAAATGACAAATGACGCAACGTCCGTTTAACTATACGCTAAACCGAACGTGACGTTAACGCGGGAATAAAAACTTTGTCAAATAAATACAGAATCTTTCATGAATACAGCAATATACAATAAATTACACATATAATATGGATCTGCAAATGTGATACAAAAATTCTCATAATTAATAATAATAAAAAAAAAATAAAAAACCTTGATATGAGAACAAACATACTACATGTATATGTATACCGGCACAATAATGACAAAGTTATATATTGTACAAAACTTTTGCATTCATACCATTAGGAGATAATGTGTTCAGCTTATGAATCCAGTATGATTCTTGTAATAAGCGTTCCATATCATCGGTGACAATCTCTATAGGCATAAATTTAAAATCCTTTATACAATGATTGGTTTTATTAAAGTGTGTAGCGACATTGGTCGAAAATAACGGATCGGAAAAATTGTTAATATCAAACCTATGGCTATTCATGCGTTTAGACACTTGTTGCTTCGTTTGACCAACATACGTATTGTTATTTACATGATAATTCTTACCAGGCATATTAGTACTACTAAATATATTGCTTTCAATAATGGAGCTGCAATGTGTACATCTACTTCTATTACATTTGGATGAACTTTTCGCATACTGATTGTTCTACGAAAAATGTTATATATCTTGTCACTTGTGATAAATGTAAAGAGCAATATGTTGGTCAAACGAAGCAACAAGTGTCTAAACGCATGAAT